AGTAACTCTCTTCTATCAAATTCCACATTCTTCAGTCTGACATTTATGATCTTTCCACATTCTGGCTCCTGCATATCTTTCCAGGCTTATCTATTTCCCTGCACGTGTTACATGTGCCAACTAATCTGCATTGCTTACCATCTCTGAACACACTTTTTCCCCCATAACATTGTATTTGCTCTATTTGTATGTTCTATCCCATCACCATTTCTCTCATCCTAAGTCTCACTTCTTATCATGAGCTAGAGACTATTATTTATCTCCAATATCTGTTCTCCTCTTCTTCAGTAGTGTTAGAACCATTGATTTTTAGCTGGGCACATGGCTACCCAAAAGAGACTACATTTGACTGACAGGGTAGAAGTGTAGTGATGTATACAATTTCTGCAAGCATCTTTGAATAGAGGGTTGTGTTCTCTTCTGCCTCTACCTCCATTTTGCTGGCTGGAAAAAGGATGTGATGGCTGGAGCTTGAACTGTCATCATGGATCATAAGGTAGACGCTGTATTTCAGGATGGTGAAGCCACATAACAGAAGGCGCCTGTGTTCCTGCTGATTAGGGAGCCACAGTACCAACCCCAGAGCACCTGCACTTATGTGAGAGGAACACATCTCATTTTGTTTAAGCTACTGTTACTTTGAGTTTTTTAACTGCTGCAGAAATCAATCCCTCCATGAAAATATATTGTTTAGAATAATTTTCTGGTGGCCAGTAACAGAAATACATTCAAAGCTATATTAAGCAAAATGGGGGAATTATTTTCAGGATACAAGTATTTCTCACAGAGCCCATGGGAAGGGATAAAGGAAGCCTCAGAAATAGACTGGAACCTGGAACTGAATCACTTAAGGGGAAGCCAGGAAGTCCTCTCATTGTGTTTCATTTCTCCTTCTCTTCCTTCTTACTGAAGACTATTTTTTTCATGTACCTGGCATAGAGAAGCAATAAAGAAATATTTTGTTTAATTGATGGAAATTTGCATGTATGTATGATAAACTGGATCTAAAGTCAATTCCCAAAACATTTTCTTATATGTATGTAGCTTGTTAAAATGATTTGCTTGAAGGGAATCATACTTTTTAGAGTCTAAGTTCTCTGTTAACCCTTTCTATCAGCCATCCAATTTCTCCCAGTTGATTATCCCAACATCAGAAAAGGGGCTTGAAATGCAGAGCTTTCCATAATTGGTCTAATGAAAGACACTTTAGAGACAGCTCTGCTTTTGTACAAGAGTTGCAAAAGCAAAATTTTATAAGAATGCAAGCACTGGCCCACAAATAACTATTTTGCTAGACAAGAAAATGATAGACTATTTTTGGTATATTTTCCCCGATAACTAGAACTAAAAAGTTCCCTTGTAACTTTATTTATTCTTTTTCAATTTTGGATTGTTATTATTTACTGTCTGGGTTCCCACTTTTACCCAGTTTTTGCCCTTAACAGTTTTTATGTTCTTGCCAGCTCATTGATATATGTTTGATAAATGAGACTATTTTTGGTATATTTTCCCCTGTAACTAGAACTAAAAAGTTACCTTGTAACTTTATTTATTCTTTTTCAATTTTGGATTGTTATTATTTACTGTCTGGGTTCCCACTTTTACCCAGTTTTTGCCCTTAATGGTTTTTATGTTCTTGCCAGCTCATTGATATATGTTTGATAAATGTTTCATATATTTTATCCAGCACTTTGAATTGCTTTTGGTGGGAGAATCAGCCAGTGTCTCTTGTCTGCCATAGTCCTGGACATGAAAGTCCAATATGCCTTTTAAAGAGTTTGAACTTCATTTGCTTGTAAGATATTAATCTTCATTCTAAAGATCAGGGCCCTAACTTTGGTGGTCTAAGCTTTCCATCTATAAAGATGAAGAATAAACACCTTTTCACCCAAGTCAAATTGTTTTTTGTAAAGGACTCATGAGATAATTAATGTGAA